TCCCTACATGGTGAGCCTAACTATATTTCTTCAGGAAGATGGTTAGGTTATTACACAAGCTAGCTAAGTTATATCTCTCTTTACCCATCAATACCAAAGTGAACAGAAATGACAAACCCAACATCAATCTCTTTTTTTACTCCTTCAAGAAAGAAAACGAGCTTATGTGCCTAAAAGCTGTATTCGTGTGTCTGAGGGCAAGAAGACAGTGCTGCTTCCAATTCTCTTTTTTACCCATCTGCTTTCAAAATAAGCAAATAAACACAGGGAAGAATAACAACTTACCCCAATGCCTTGATGGAATTTAATCGTAACAGTTCTTACTTCACTGAAAATAAGAGATTCCTATAGAAATGATAATCAACCTCCTGTGAGTACATGGAGCTCATAAAATTTAAAGAGTTTCTAAAGGTCAGCAAGCATTGAAGGCTTTGTCCTGGGGGTAAATTTCTAAGTAACCCTGAGGAGAAAGAGAGAGGGAGGGAAAGGAAAAGGTTTAACTTGATGAAAGTAAAATGTGCAAACTCAACAGTTTCTGGATTATCATTTAATTACAGCCATCAATCAGCTCACATCTGCCTTTTCCCAATACTCAAGAAATTAAGGCTAAAGCCATACAACCCAACCAACAGAGAATACGTAGCGCATTAAGAATCCTAAGGATAGGAAACAATATTTAAGAAACTACCTGATAGGAGATCTTAGGAAATTACCTAAAAGCAGGATAGTGGAATCCATCTTTCAACAAATACTGGGAAAACCCAAGAGTAAAATTATCCTTTTAATTAATAAGACAAACTACTTATTGCTTCCTCTTCCGTACCAGTTTAGAGATTTTCCATTAAGTGATCCTTTTCAAAGGGCTTTGCTTTCCAAATCACTTTATTTCAATCCATACTTTTACTAATGCATGAAACTGGCCTGGAGTTACTCATTTTATGAACATGATTTTACATTCTTTTAAAACAAGGACGATTTGAAGTTGAGCTTTTAGAAATAAATTTGCTTTATTAATTGGCACTGGGGAATGCCAGCCTATGTCTTTATGGGCAGCTATTATTTTTTGGTTAAAAATGTTTTAATTTCTTCTTATTGAGGAGTTCATACTGACTGTCCGTAAATTCTGTAGCGAAGGAATTAAATAGCATTAGGCTTTTTAAGCTTCAAAGTGTTCAGAAAAGTGTTTCAACCATGGTAATCCCTCTGTCGTGCTGCCTTTATCTCCCACCAGATACCTAAATGCTTCCGTCTTCTTCTCAGGCAGTTAATTGCAAAGAGGATGGAACCAGAGAAAGGAGTTGAGCTGGTGCTGAGCAGTGGATATAAAAAGAAGTGTCACCCTAGTGAAAGTAAATAGACTCTGAGGCTGTAATCTCTGCCCTTATTTATCTTTGAAACCATAAATGCCCAGGGGAAAGCTTGTTGTTTATTTAGCTACGGAACTCTATGTCTGCAATCATGTATGGTTTTTAACCTGTTTTTATTTCCATACTTTCCATCGTAGCAATCTTCTGTCTTGGAACCACCTAGGTTTTCTCTCTAAATATGGGTTTTATTCCAGTGGCGTTGTTGGCCATAGCCTTCGAGAGTCTCTGCGTTTTCAAACTAATAATATGTTCACTACCTTTTTTTTCCAACAGAGTTCGTCAGGCGATTTAATGATCAGAAACATTCAGTTGAAACACAGTGGGAAATATGTTTGTATGGTGCAGACAGGGGTGGACAGTGTTTCATCTGCCGCTGACCTCATAGTAAGAGGTAAACATTAATGGCTCTGTGTGCTTCTTTAATTTCGCATCTTAACTGAGCCTTTCGCACTGAAAAACATGATGAGATAGCATATGAACGTGTGAGTTATATAATATTGATTTGATCCCCCTGCCCAAATAGACCAGAAGATGTGAGAATAAGGATAGGTGCTAATACAAAGAAATATAAAATCTCAACTCTGTCGTTCCAATAGCTTTCACTGTAATAAGTATTCCACAGCTGCTGCCAAGCTGATGTGTTTTTGAGTATGTCATTAATACAGCAGTAGTGTTTAATATGAAAGAGAGTAGTGATAGTGGGTGTGTGTGTCTACTTCCAAAATAAAACACAGGATCATTTAGGATGCCCGAGCAAATTTGCCAGTCTGAGCTACTGGCCAAAGTACTGATTTGCTACTGAGCTGAAAAATCACCCAGAGTGCATGGTAGAATGAAACAGCTCTAAATTACAAACTGGGAACTACCGAGATGTCCCAGAAGATTAAAGAAAAAGGTTTCGCGCCAAAAGTAAAGGATATTGAATTTGGAACAGGGCAGGAATCCTG